AGTTTTTGGTCAATGGTAACCCTCAGGATTTTGGAAGTGGGTGATTCAGAGATGGTGGCACCATTGAATGTCAAGGGGCAATGGTTGGACACTGCCATGATGGAGAGATCATTGCCTGACACTTGTGCGTGAACATTACTCATTAGTCCAAGCCTGGAAATCGTTATTTGAACATGGACATTTGAGAGGACATCAGCGCCCACCACTTATCACTTCCTCAGTACGGCACTAGTACTGTCAGCCTGGCTTTATTCTCCAGTCTCTGTGCTTGAGCTTTCAAGGAAGGCCGCCATAGTCATATATCATGTGGTACTAAAAGTCTTAATTACAGAGTGGGTACAGCACGGAAACAGTCCTTTTGGCTCATCATCTCTGTACCAGTTTTCTACTACATCAGCTCAGCTAGTTCCACTCCCTTGTCCTTTCACTGTAATGCTGCAAACCTCTTCACAAAATTAACCAATGTTTACTTGAAAGTAAACATCTCAGCCCATGTATTCCAGATCCTAAGCTCACACTGGGTGCTGATCGTTTACCCCATGTCACCTTTGTTTTTAATTTGCTGTTCATCTTAAATCAGTGCCCACTGGTTCTTGACTTTTCCGTCAATGGGAACAGATTTCCCCTCGATACTCTGTCCAGATTATTTTGAACACCTCAGTCATATCCAATGGGCACTGGGCAGAACAATCTAGCCCAATGTCATTACATATGATGCCAAAGTTAATAAGAAGCAATGGAAGCCAGAAGCCATGAAAACAAAAAGCAACTTTGGCGGAAATAACTTGTGACAAAGGGTGGAATCTTCTGGGACCACCGGAGCTTTAAGAGGTTTGGGGTGGGGGGGCACAAACGTAATTGGCCAGGAGGCAAGAATCCAGTTTCCCAACAGCAGCTTAAATTAGTTATTATGTCCTTATTACCTTTCAGATAGGTTGGCTTTATCTTCTTGGAGACAGTAAGGCCTGCAGATGCTGGAAGCTGGAGTCAATAAATGCGGAGCTGGAAAAGCACAATAGGTCAGACAGCATCCGAGGAGCAGGAAAGTCAGCATTTCAGGCTGAAACTCTTACGAAGGGTTTTGGCCTGAAACATTGACTTTCCTGCTCCTTGGATGCTGTCTGACGTGCTGTGCTTTTTCAGCTCCGCATTTATTGGCTTTACCTTCTGCTTGACCCCCTGATTGCCATGGTGACTCCATCAGCTCATTCATGGTCAAACCCAAAGTCATACTGTCTGTACTGGACTCAGCATGGGGCTGTTCCCCAGCAGTCCTCTGAGTGTCAGAGACCTCAGCTGGTCTTTCCTCTTCTAGCCCTGTGCTGGTGTCGGTACTATACCACGAGAATGTGACCCCAAGCCCACTCTGGAAACATGACCAGGGTGAATGTCTCTGAGAATGTCTCTGAGCTGGTGGTAGAGGGTGGTGTGGAAGACCTTGATTGTGCGTCTTCTTCGACTCACAACTGTTACTCCTCGGGCGAGCAGATCCACAGGTTGGGAGAGATAGGCCTGGGGTCTTTTATTTTAATCCTGGCTTGGAATTGGAATCTGGAGTCCGCATAGAACAACAGAGAGATGTGTTAGTGTTGTAAGCCATTGCCCTTACTCAATGTTTCATTCAGATGTTGGTACTTGACGTGCAGCGTTCCAGATTGGAGACCATCTCACCAGGTGGCTGGAGATATTCGATCTCCCCTTCAGCACAGGCACAATCTTCTTGCTGTCCTACCATCTTGGGGAGTTGGAGGAAGTGAGGAACTTTATGTCATTGTCCCATCTCTCTCTGGGCATGATCACACTTATTGTGCACATTCTTCTGCAGAAGAAGAGGTGCATTAAGAGACATTCCCAAGGGCACATGAGCATTTTGCCTGTAGTAATAGATACAGATAAAGATAGCCCCAGAGCTCTAACTGTTCATGTGCCTTACTAGAAAGAATGTGAGTGGGGGCAGTTACACATTAAGGGTTCTGAGTGAAAGATGGTTCAGTGTTGTCAAAGAGCAAAGGCTGATAAGGATCAATAAAACATTCCATGATTTGTCTACCTGAGATACTTGTGAGATATTTATCCCACAGCAATCTTTTGTGGTTATGTCCTTATACCCTAAAGACAAGCCTTTGGTGAAAAGCGAGAGTATTTGGATGCTCTTCCAGTTGTAGAGAAAGCTCAGTGAGCTGCTGGGTGTTATAGCTGCTTTTATGTTTTAAGTGTGAAAACTGACAGATGTGTGAGAGGCAGTACCTCAGTGGTACCAACAGTTCTATCTTGGTAGCTGCAGTGAAGTGATAGACACTGATTGTACATGATGCATCTCACGGAATTGTCCAGCGCCCAGTCCTGTGTCTGACAGACATTTGTCAGCAGTGACAACCTTACAATGCAAACAAACACTCAAAGAGGCATGAAACATGGGACAGATAGTAGCACGTACCCACATCCTCTTGTGACACTGCAGCCAGTGAATCACCAATGAGATAAGGTGTAGAGCTGGGTGAACACAGCAGGCCAAGCAGCATCAGAGGAGCAGGAAGGCTGACGTTTCAGGCCTAGACCCTTCTTCAGAAATGGGGGAGGGGAAGGGGGTTCTGAAATAAATAGGGAGAGAGGGGGAGGCGGATAGAAGATGGATAGAGGAGAAGATAGGTGGAGAGGAGACAGACAGGTCAAAGAGGCGGGGATGGAGCCAGTAAAGGTGAGTGTAGGTGGGGAGGTAGGGAGGAGATAGGTCAGTCCAGGGAGGACGGACAGGTCAAGGGGGCGGGATGAGGTTAGTAGGTAGGAGATGGGGGTGCGGCTTGAGGTGGGAGGAGGGGATAGGTGGGAGGAGGGAGAGGTTAGGGAGGCAGGGACAAGCTGGACTGGTTTTGGGATGCGGTAGGGAGAGGGGAGATTTTGAAGCTTGTGAAGTCCACATTGATACCATTGGGCTGCAGGGTTCCCAAGCGGAATATGAGTTGCTGTTCCTGCAACCTTCGGGTGGCATCGTTGTGGCACTGCAGGAGGCCCAGGATGGACATGTCATCTGAGGAATGGGAGGGGGAGTTGAA